TTATTATTTCTTTTTTTTTTTTTTTTTTTTTTTTTTTTTTTTTGGAAAGAGAGCAAGTTAGCATCGCTTTAACATGCATTTGGACATAATAGTAATTTTCGGTTAAAGCTTTATCTTTTTGGTTGGTATATGACGATTTGCCCCGATTCTCATGGATCGTTGATGAAATTTTCTGAATTCAAATCCTTGCATTACGAGACGAGGTTCAAATATTGATGGTCACTTTGTCTTCTTTTTTTTTTGAAAAAGGAAATTAGTAATCTATGCTTTATCATGCATGCGTATTATATTTATTCACGCCTTTTTCTGCATAATACGGTATAGCATTTGAATCAGTCATAAAGTGGTTCTAATAATTTCTAGATCGGCTGCGATCTTGGGGAGACGAACGCATAGTGTGTCTCCGTTTTCAGTCTATTCCTATCTGGTTTCAGAAATCTTTGTTCCAAAGTGTCATCTCTAGCGACATCTTATTAGCAATATTTTTAGGTGGTTTTTGTTAGACGAACACAACCCTGAAGTATGATATTGTTTATTTTGAGCATAAGCTTTCATAGCGTTGATTTAGGCTTTCCCAAAAGGCCTCATACCAATAGAGGTCTCGTACAATGGAGATAATATTCTTTGGTTATAAATAAACCCATGATCATTCCCTAAATTAGTCGATGTGTGACTTTCATCCATCAACACCTCCCCTCAAACAAAGTACGTCGGAAGTCTCGACTCTTTTTCTTTTGGAGTCCTTTGTTCGACATTTGAGGATTATATTTGTACGGCTAAGTTTAGGGCATGATTCTGATATCATGTTAGACGAACACAACCCTCCACAAATATGATATTGTTCACTTTGAGCATAAGCTTTCGTGGCTTTGCTTTGGGTTCTCAAAAAAGTCTCGTATGAGATAGTATTCTTTAATTATAAATTCAGGATCATTCTCAAGATTAGTCAATGGGAGACTTTTATCCACTGACAACTCTAAAAGTTTTAATAGAGAAAAGAATCCAAAATTTTGTTTTGCTCATTGCAGATGTAACTGTTGGGAACTTTTGTCCCTTTGCACCATTTCAGGAGATTAAATGTATTATTACCGATAAAATAATTCGCCGTAGGATAATTTACGATTCACATACTCTAAAATACGTTATTCGTTTAATTTTTTACTTAAAAAAAGAAAGGAGAAAAAATGTTCGAGATTGTTAGTAGAATAGCTGAATTTCTCTCTCTCTCTCTCTCTCTCTCTCTCTCTCTCTCTTTATTATTATATTAACATTAGGTGTAATTTATATTTCAGGTTACAAAAGAATGCAGTCAATGATTACGTCATGCAAATCAATTACATTTGGTTAGTAATTCTTTAACTTAAATTAACCGGTGTTCAACATTCCAGATATCATGTGTTTCTCATCTTATAATCATCAGAGGATTTCCATTCTATAAATCCTGGCGTTTGATTAAAAAACGAATCCATTTCTGAACTTGTCGAGGTAATTTTTAAATTAGCTGATGTTCAACATTCTAGATATTAAAACTATTTTTTTAAAGTAATTTAAAAAAAAAAAAAAACCAAGACTAAATTCAAAATTTTAATTATGAACGCAAATGATTCCAAAATTCTTTAATGAAAACATAAATTCAATTTATTTTCTGGAATGGTATAGTGAACTGGTTTCAGATGAGACCACCGATGTTTCTGGAATGGTATAGTGAACTGATTTCAGATGAGACCACCGATGAATAGAGACATCGAAGCTGCTGAGTGTAAACAAATGGAAACAATTAGCTACCGTGGTACAACTTCGTACTCATATTCAACTTAGTATTCTAAAGCAATTATTCTATGATATTCTAAAGCAATTATTCTATGAGAAAACTGGGAAAAATGGTCACATGTGCACAAATTTAATCACGGTCCAAAATTTTTCTGTAAGATAAGACTGATGCAGAGACTAGAAAATACTAATGCTAATGATAAAAATAATATTTTCTTTTCCAGTAAAATGGGGTAAATAATTACCGAGAAATCTGTTACTGCTAATGTGAATTGGCAAGTACTTTATTAAATAAAGCATTATTCACATTTTTTAAAAGAAATAATCAAAATTACTTAGTTTAAATAATATTTTTTTTGTACTCTTTAAAAAGTGACCATTTTGATCATTATTAGCAAGAAATTTAATATAAGTTTATTACAACGTTTTAAGAATATTATAAGAATATTAGTGAATGAAGTGTCAAGTTAAAATTAAATGAAGGAAGCAAAATGATCACTTTTTAAGAATACAAATATCAAGATTTTTTAAAAGTACGAGAACAAAAACAAACCAAAGCTGTAAATATTTTGACCAAAATAATATTTAAACTTGATTACTATTTATTTTTAATATAAAAAATATAAATTTGCAAATATTTTGAAGAATAGAGGAAATTTACCTTACCGTCAGACGCATATTTGGTATCATTTCATCGGAGTATTGCCTTCAATTGGTAGCGGATGTGCTTCAGAATTGAACACATATTTATCCAGTGGAATCGCGGAACTATCCCCAAATAGTAAGTACAAATACTTGAGAGTCTCCCCCAGAAAGAATGTCTCCATTTTGTCCCTTCTCCGGGGAGGAATTGAAGTAACATCATCTAGTGATGTATATCCACCACTACTAACCTTCGTATGCCTCTCGAATGCTTCAAAAATCTGCCAGCCCCATGCACGGTACCTGCGGTACGTTCATATAAGCATCCATTTTTTCTTCCATCCCATGTGAATATAAAACACGGTTAATTGTAGAAGCCATACTTCGGGTTGCCTGTGATACGATACAGGACGAACAGTGACTCGACTGTTTCAGGCCGCAACAGATTATGACGATCCAGTGACTTGATTATTATGTCATCAATATATTTCGATTTTTTATTTCCACCACCGAGACCTTGTTCGGAATATTCCTGGACAAATATTGAGCCAAGGGTCTTAAGATTCATGGACAGCATGACAACTGGGGGAAGAAAAGATATAGGGAACAAATTTACAATATATAACATAGACTATGGAACCGACCTCAGTATGGAAATAAGCTATTTCTGGGGCAAGACCGGTTGAGGTTACTTCATACATCTCAAAGCAAGTTTTTGCTAGATCCTCTGCCAGTTTTAGATTTTCCAGATCGTCAAAGCTCAACAAGCTTTTTCTCATTGCTTCGTCCCTGCTCATTCCCTTGGTGGCACCAAGAGCAAGGGTGCCTGGTAAGAAACATACCTAAAACAGGCCAAAGTTTATCAGTCCAGTACTTTTCCAAAACGAAACGAGGATTACTATGATGTTTATGTCACATTGCTATACTCAGATAACCAATGATCTGAAGGATCAAAGTATTAACTCATCGAGCTTGTGAATAAAATTAAGTCTTGAAAAAAAAATCACATCACAATAACGTAGATAATTCACGGAAAGAAAATATGGATGCTTAGTTAACTCATCAACTAAATACTAAAATAGTTACCAAGTCCAAACGAATATACAAAGAGATTCTTTTTTTTTTTTTTTTTTTTTTTTTTTTTTTTTTTTTTTTTTTTTNAAAAAAAAAAAAAAAATAAAAAAAAAAAAAAAAAAAAAAAAAAAAAAAAAAAATGTGCAAAGCACAATTAGCTTAAAACGTTAAAATGTGGACGTGTGGGATGCCAGCTAACGGTTACTTTAATTCTTATTTACTCGTGCCATTCCTCACCCCCCCCCTTCTACTACTATTTGTATCAAACAAACTTTCTCCCTAAGCTAAATTATGATGTGGGCCTTCCCTAATACTTACCAATATTCAGCCCCTTCATAAATAAACGCAACAGTCTCCCTCCCACATATCACGTTTTCAGTTGTATCTCATTTTGCATAAACTCACCAATGGCACTTGCTTGTGACAAATGGGGGTTCTCTCCCCAAAAACTAACTTAAGAGGCGAAACTTTTCCTCAGTACTTGAAAACCGACATCTGTCCTTTTTCATAATTGATGTACAATAAAGCAAGATTTACACCCAACCCTCCTTGCATTTATTCAAGGGAACAGGAAGATATATTTATGCAGGCAATGGCATTTACATTCCCCAACTTTCTTTCCAGTAACATGACACTTCGGCTCAATAAAATAACACAGCATTGAAAGAAGTGTTCAATGATTCAAATAAATGGCAACACTGCACACATAAAACGAAAAGAAGCTCTAAAGCATAAACTTTTTCTCACGGCATAGAAACAGATGAAATGGCCAATTGTGAACAGAGCAGTGGAGCAAGAGATTTGTATAATGTACTTAAGGAAGTGGAGCTGTATTCTACACAATTTCTAACATCCTAAATCTGTAACAAAAACACGAGGACTATTGCACATGAAGTACTACATAACAGGTTTCAAGATAATGGAACTGTTTCCATTGATAAACTACAGAAATAATGATCTTGAGGGTGAATGAAAGATAAGTATATAGCCCTAGACTATGTCAACAATCTTATATCATATTTCTAAACATCCAGAGACATTTCAAAGTTGAATAACTTAGATGGATTGATTTGCAGAAAAATCAATCAACTCCCATATTTGGGGAATAATCTTCCAAATTACTTCTCAGTTTGAGCCAATCTTCCTTGATATATAGCCATATGACTATACCATAAGCTGGTCTACCAGATAAGTGAATATTACATATAGGAGGAAATAACGCATACCAGGTGGTCCATTTTCGGACTAAAAGCAGCATTTGATCCATAAGGCAATTCTCCAACAAAAACCAAGCCATTTGGAACAGACTTCCGAACAAGAAGATGCTTAACACCTTTCATGGCTTCTTCATACATATCATGTAGATAAGTGAAATTATTGTTTTCTCTCATTCCCTTCTGAATCCATACTTTGAGTAGATACTCATAGTAGCTATCACCACGAGATCCCAGTCTTATGGTTTCTCCAATAAAATCGCCAGTATCAGGGCTGCAATTGAGATGAAAATTACGTGAAAATAAGTAATTAGTCATCACCATATCCTCAAAATTAAAGGAATCTTTCAAAACCCAAAAGGCCCAGGGAGATTTAGAATGCGGAAGGAACTACATTCTACATAGTAATAAAAAAGCTAACGGTGTGATTGAACTACCAAAACTCAAAAGTTAAATGTGAAATACAAAGTGAACCATTTCAGGATTAATGCTCGAAGAGGACAAACTGCCGCAAGAACAAATGTTCCTGAAAAAGGAAAATAAAACTAATACGACAATAACCATTTATGAATGTTTCATAGATTTTTTAACCCATGGAATTTACATGTTCACTTTTGGCTTCAGAAGAATAACCTCTCATGACTCAAAATAGAGTTTTGCCAACATGCCAAAAAGTTCAATCGAAGGCGTATCTTAGACACTGCAAAGCATGGATGGGCGTACTAACAAGACAGTCAATTTTTAAAAAAAGAATGGAATCCATTTTTACTGACTGTACGAAAAATGTGAACATTAAAAAAAATGAAAAAAAGGGAGGAGAGCTAAACCCAAAGCTCCAAATCAAGGAAGATCACAACAAAGCTTTCTAGTTGGCCAAAAGAACATTAAGATTATAATTCACCAAGAGATATTTGTTATGACACATTATTTAAATATGTATATTTTGACACATCTCAATGATTTTGATGTGAAAAATTTTGCATTTCAAATAATGTTTTCATTTATTCACAATGAGAAAACATGAACGGATAAATATATAACTAATAAAAGGAAATAGAATGTTCAACATCGAATTTATATCTGTTTCTGATGCTTCCATAGATCATAGCAAAAAAGGCATAAAAAGTTTGACGCACATGTTAGATATAGACATGTCGTCTAAAAATAAAGTAACTATGCTTATAGCTAGATATAAAAGCTCCATACCTAATATAGATGGGAACCAAACCTTCCACTTTCGGAAGGTTCTTCATGTGTTCCAAGACCTTCATGGCAGCAACTGAATACTTTGGGTCGCCTGAAACAGTACTAAGATAATTAAATTCCAGCTGCAAAGTAGAAACTTCGGATGTACTACTTAATCCACCAGGAGCTGCATAAGCCGAGAAATTTTGTAAAACAACATCAGAGAAAGGAATAGAGGTCCGGCTGGAGGTAAAAGCACTTAGCAAACGATCAGCCAAGTTCTTAGCGGTTTCTAGATAAACAGCTGGCTTAGGTCCTTCATTTTCAAAGTTCTTCCCATATTCTCCTGCTCTCAAGTGGTATGCACTTAGAAGACCACCTAAAACACGTATGGTAGTTTCAAATAAATTGACTTGACCTTTTTCCTTAATTCTATCCAGAAGGTGTTTTTCAACCCATGAGCCTGCCTCAGAGACAATATCACTAGCACCCATAATCATGGCAGTGTCAAGGGCATCCACAATTGTAGCACCTAAACCTCCTAACCCGTCCGTTCCTGTCTGGCTCAGTGGCATGAGTTCATCATTCCCCATTGCATACCTTTTATAGCCGGACCATGCATGGATAAAAGCATCCTTCACTTTCTGTTGCCTTGAAATCCATAAAGACTCAGAGACTAGCATGTTTGGATCAATATGATAGCTAGTATTGCTACCTTTTTCATCTGGTGGTAATCGAGGAGGAAGCCTAGGAGCTCTCCTCCATAAGTTCTTGAAGCTGATGCCACCATTAATCTTGAACTCTCCTTTCTCATTACTCTCACTTACTTTGGCCACTTGATTGGGAACATGGACAGGAGTACTTGTCAAAAACAGATATGCCAAGCCAAAGACCAAAAGTAATACTAGAAACTTCCCCGTGCTACAACTTAGACAATCGCGTTTTCTGCTACCAGTGAGTAAATTCTGAGTCATCACCTGATAAAACGAGATGATAACTTTGAGTCATAAGTCAGAACAAACAATGTCACCCCATATCGAATAACTAAAGGTTGGGGTGACATTGTCTAGGGTATGACACGATAAATAAAAATAAATAAAGAATTGGTCACTATATTCAGTGTTGGAAAAATTGAAATTGTATACATTTCTCAGGGTTAACAATAATAATTATCTCAAAACAACATGAGAGAAGTATTTTAGGGATAAGTTGCACGTCTGAGGTGCTAGATAAGCAGTTCAACATGTAAGGAGAATTTTGGAGAGGGAAATTTCTAGACACTATAAATGTAGTGTAGAGTCTATTTCAGACATGTGAAAAAGAGATGTAAACTTATTCTTCCCTGAAAAATCTGGAACGTACTTTTAGCTAAATTATCTTCTCTGTTTTCTCACATTGTTTGGGAAGTCATCCAAAAGTATTGGCGAGTCTGAAATTTACAGAAGAAGATCCACCAACGTAGATTATACGTTTATGAACGTAGTATAATTTCACATCAATCACAAAGGATCAAACATCCATCATGCTACAGATGAAAGGTTGGTCACAACAAACCAACAGGTAAGCATAGAATCTAAACTGGCAACATGGCCCCTGATTAATTCGCAAAACGAAAAATATCCTCAATCTGGCATTTCTATGATAATTTTCACTAATTATGCATGCAATTCCAACGAAAATGACTAATCAAACAGATCCAGATGATCAATACCGTCGAATTTCTAACCTCCTCCAGGCCGTCTCCATTCCAGAAGCAACATCACATTCTTAAATAAAGTAAATGACATCAGTAAGAACAATTACACATGGAGAAAGTAAAGTTGTTCCAGGCACAATCGAAGTTCAAGAACGAATAAGAAATAAGAAATACTCGTCGCAGAATGTAACTAGAAAGCTACCAATTCTTCCAAACATTAACCGAATAATAAATCGCGCAAACGCAGTGCCTGTTATGCAATCAGATTTCATGAAATTGAAATGGAGAAAGAAGTCAAGATCTAGCACAGAAAGACCTTCAAGTAGGATCTCTGTCGAAACTTAGCATTGTCATAATGAACATCCTTCACAGAGTACGGTAGAGAACTAGACATGTTCAATCGGATCTCCGTCTAGGGCTTGCGTACGGTTGGCCTCCTCTCCGCTCCGCTCGGAGGCCTGAGTCGCAAGGAGAGAGAGAGACACGGAGATTTAAAAATGGCGACGGATTCCTATTGCTCTTCTTACATCGTCCGATCGATGATTACCGGTAGAGATGATCGGAAAATATTGAGCGGGAACTGGATTGGCAGCAATTGTACGTATGGATTGATACACAAGAAGAAGTGAAGGTCTATGCGTCGTAGACAGAGAGAGACGAGGAGAGGAAGAAGGTGTGCGAAATTTAAACTGAATAATCATTATTCCGCGAACATCACAACAATTCGACATTTAAGTACGAAATGAGAAGGGGAACAGTTTTTTTTTTTTTTTTTTTCAGGTGGCAATTTCACTCGTAATTCCAAACTCATATTATTTAATTAAATCCATTTAAATAATCAACAACATTTCCTCATAGTTAGTTGAAGGAATCGAACCAAACCATTCATGGTTTAATTTCGATACACATTTTTCTTATACCGAGCCTGACTTTTTTTTCAAATCGAACTAAAGTTCATCTCTTTTAATGAATAATTTACTTGATCTACTCGTACGTTAAATAAATTTTTTTTATATCAATCTAAAAAAAATTAGAGATGTTTACAATTTATAATAAAAATAAAATATCTTACCAATAATACCTCTAATCTAATAGTTATCTAAACAAATAATTTTTTATTCGTGGCCACATGCAAAATAGACTTTTATTTATTTATTTATTTTTAGTAAGGGAAATGTGGTTGACTAAGAGCAAATTACAACATTAAACTCATTTCTCATGCATCAAATAATACAAAAACTATTAACGTAATTATTATTATTATCTATTAAAAAATTACATTATTATTATTATTATTATTATTATTATTACTACGAACCTCCCTCAAATAATATTTATCCGCACTCAAGTTTTCTCCCTCTTCCCCTTTTTCCCTCTCTGTCTCTCTCTCTCTCTTCCTTTCTCAAACGTGAAATGGGTTTCAAGATTCAATCCCCATTCTTCCAAATCTCTCCCTCTCTCATTCTCTTCTTTCTCTTGATCTCCTCCTCCTCCTCCGCAAACCTCCTTCCCTACAGATCAGACGTACAACTCCGCCGTCACCGGACCACCCTCCACGGCGGCGCACCCACCACACCATTCTTGCTAAACTCACAGCGAGCAGTAGATCAGTACAAAGCCAACAAATTACAAATGGCGATAAAAAACAAGAGCAAGAAGAAAAAGAAGAAGACGACAGCCAGGTTTGAAAGCAATGGCAATAACAATAACAAGGGAAGAGCTTTCTCCGCGATGCTCCCAAAGGGTTTTGTCCCTCCCTCTGGCTCGTCCCCTTGCCATAACCAAAGCCCTCAATCATCATCCCCCGCCTTTTACTGTCATCTCTCTGCTGCCACCAACCGCCCTTGAGGTCGGTTTCACCTTTCTTCCTCTTTTTTCTGCTATTATAAAACTTCCCCCTTCTTGAAAATGGGACACATAAAAGAGTATAATATATGCTCTATTTTTATACATATAAATAGAAGAAAATAAGGAAAAAAACCCATTTCTCTGCTTCTTTTTTGTTGCATTTTTTAAGACAAGATTGATAAATAAGTGATTTTGGAGATGTCTGTGTGAATACTCTGTTTGCTTAATATGCCCGAAATTAGGAAAGAAAGCATGTGAAGTTGCTTAGGTTAATGGAATTTTATTACCGTAGCGTGCACTTCATGCATGCAATGGAATTAATTGCCTTTTCTCGAGACATCCAACAAATTTTACACTGCAAATCATGTACTAATGTTCTTCTCTATTAACCACTAGATCCATGTTCGGAGGCGCCTCCACATTGTCCAACAACAGTTCAATATCTTGAGTCTTGGCATCCTCCACTCAAGACTCGAACATCTTCGGTCTCACTGTCTCGAGCCTTTGTACCTCTAGTCTCGTCACCTCTGTTATCTTTAGTTAGAAGAACAGAACTCTCCACAATGGTATGATATTGTCTACTTTGAGCATAAGCTCTCATGAATTTGCTTTAGGCTCCAAAAAGTATCAGTACAGAGTATTATTTGATTATGAATTCATTGTCATTTATTGAATTAGCGGATGTGATGTGGGACTTTCATCATCCAACAGCACCGACGATAAGAAGAGAGAAAAATTCAAATGGGTAAAAGTAATAAAAATTTTCGGTAGGGATTCATCAACATCTCGATTAATATTTATTACGATAACTCACATCAACATTCTTTATAAAATGTAAAAACCTCTCCCTAGAACACCCCTTTTAAAAATCTTAAAGGGAATCAAGAATCTCGAAAATGAAAGCACAAAGAGAAGAATACCTGCTAGTAGTTGTCTTCCGTTAGTTTCTTATCAACGGAGAGGGCGGAGGTGGTGCTCTTCGGTGAAGGCAGTGACCTCGGTGTCGTACAAGACAGTGCATCCAATGGTGGCGAACCGGTGCTCCTTTGTCTTTTGCTGCTTGAGCCAAATGAAACCGGATGTCCGATTGTAGCCAACCTCAACAATGTCGTTTAAGGGGAGAATGTCTCGAGGAAGAAAGAATCGATCGAGCAGTTTGTTGGATGATGAAAGTCCCACATCGACTAATTTAGGGAATGATCATGGATTTATAAGTGAGAATACTAACTTCATTGGTATGAGGCCTTTTGGGAAGCCCAAAGCAAAGTCATGAGAGCTTATGCTCAAAATGGACAATATCATACCATTGTAGAGAGTCATGTTCGTCATGTTCGTCTAACCACAGTTCTTGAGATTTTTGTCTGAAGAGGTCGTCGCCGTTGTAGATCTCGGCGTCGGTAGATCGCAAACTGCGCTGTGTCTTGATTTGATAATTCCCAGTTTTCCAATTATAAACATTTCAAAATTATGATTGGAATAAAAATTAATTAGTGGGAATTTTAAATAAAAATTAGAACTTAAAATTAGGTGACCGAATAATATAAAGAAAATTATTATTGTAAATAAGAAAATCATAGATCACGGGTCTCCATTCTCTTTGTTTTATTTTTCTTCCCATTCAAAGCCTTGTAACCTATAGGTCATAATCCGTACGGCAGTTGGTCGGGGATACTTGTTCTTTCATTCTAAAAAGAGTCCCAATAAAAATGTGTACGAGAAAATATAATAATAATAATTAATAAAATTAAACTTGTGTTTGTTTTATATGATTAAAATGGTTATAAATTCGTTTAATAAAGAATCAAACAAAAAAATGGATTTAACCATTTTAATTGTTCTTTTTATAAATCCATATTCCTTAAATGAAATATCCTCAAATTAGTTTGCCTTTTTATCCAAAAACTTTATTATGTCATATAATTGAAAGGTCACTCAAACTAAAAGTTCATAAATCGTTGAAAAATGTTGTTTTTTTTTTTTTTTTTTTTTTGTTCTAAAAATTTATATTTATTTTCTCTCAATTTTCTTGTTATTCGTTTTCTCTAAAGTCATGAAATATGGTATAAAGTCTGTGTGTTAGAAAAAAGGTCCAACGTTCAATCTTTTCATTCCAAAATTAAATTAAAAAAAAATCTAAAATAATGAAATAAACCCAACATTGGACATTGATTTTCTCTAACTTGTCCCCCAAGCAAATAAAAATGACGTAATTTGGGTTTTGCTGGCTGCACTCCAATAACCCAATGTTGACCGCCGTTGGATTCAAAGCTTCTTTGTTATTGTTTAATTTACAAATTCACTTATTTTGTCTTCGTCGGTTGATATTAAGATTTGAACCTCTAATCTTAAAATACAAAATAAAAAATATATTATTGATATTTAGACCTCGAATGGTTTTCTAACAAAATTAAAATCATCCAACTTATTTATAATTATGAAATTTATGCTAATATTTTAATCAACTAAGTTTATCTAAATTTAAAAAATAATAATAAATTAATTTGTTATAAAAATGTTTAGTTCAGTTGACGACAAAAACTTGTGAAGACCGCAGAAATTTTCATATGAATTGTAACCAAAAAGTTATTGTTTTATGTAGAGGAGAGGTTTGTCTTGTTTGATAAAAGCTCATATTGAATCTCTTAGACCATAGTTTCCAATGTATTTAGTTTCTTTGGAGAAGTCAATATTAACTGTAAAGCATGCAACCATAGACATTGTTATTATTGTTTTTTTGTTTTTTGTTTTTTTTTTTTTATGGGATATTGACAGCAAAATCACACCCAATTTTTAAAAATTAATTGCAATTCATACATTTTAATTATCATTTATTTTTTATTTTTTAAAATGAAATTACAAAACATTGTTTATAGTTATTATGTTTGTTAAAAAAAAAAAAAACACAACCATAATTAAAAATTTACACACAAAAAAAAAACAATTTTTTTATCTCACGACCTAAAAAATCTCCTCTAATTGACCNTTTGATTTTCCGTTATAATATCAATGATTGGCACATTTTCCCTTTTTTTTTTTTTTTTTTTTTTTGCAATAATTACAATATCTCTCTCTTCTGAAAATTGAAAATAGAAAAATTCCACGCATTAAAAAGTTATAACGATTTACAGCTATTAGGACCGCACGTAAAATAACAAACAACGAGATTGAAATAATAATAGAATTCTTGTTTTTGGGTAATATTTTTAAAAATAGAACCTCATAGTTAAATAAAGAAAAGAAATAACAATAAGATAATAACAACAAATAATGTTTTACACATTCTTAAAAACGTGATAATACGAATGGGAAAATATACGCCTCCAATAAAAATAATATTAATTTTATTAATACTAATTTCTGATTGGTCAATAAAGATTAAATTATTGATGGGTTGAGAAAGGAAGGTAGAGGCAGAGTCCCCATCGAAGGTATAAATAATGAAGGACATGAAGTGTTTAAGTTCACAACGCTTTCATTCTATAAGCCGCCATGGTTGTTCTATCTCAGCCAGCGTTGGATTTGGAGAAATATTCTCTTCTCCGATCAACGGGCAAACCCGCCGCCTCCGCAGCCGATATTCCGGAAATTGACCTTTCAGACCCCAACGCTAAGTCCCACGTCGTCAAAGCCTGCGAAGAATTCGGGTTCTTCAAGCTGGTAAACCACCGGGTTCCCGTCGAGTTGATGACCAAACTCGAAGATGAATCCCTCTGTTTTTTCAAGCTTTCTCAGTCCGAGAAAGATAAAGCTCGCCCGCCTGACCCTTTGGGCTATGGCTCCAAAAATATCGGCTCTAATGGCGATAAGGGCTGGATCGAATATCTCCTTCTCAACGCTAATCCTCTCCCCCTTTTCTCCCAACAGTCCGATTCTTTCCTGTAAGTTGCCAATATTTAAAGCAATCTGTTTCGGAATTACAGAGTTCAAGCCCCTGTTCTTAGCCTTTTAAGATTTTGATTCTGATAATTTTAAATTTTTTTGCTGATTCTGTTGTAGCTCGGCGGCGGCGGAGTATGTGACGGCGGTGAAGAAATTGAGCGGCGAAGTGGTGGAATTAATAACAGAAGGATTAAAAATCGAGCCAAAAAATGCGATAAGCAGGCTTATAAACGACGAGAAAGCTGATTGTTATTTCAGAGTGAACCATTACCCGCCATGTCCGGAAATGCAAGCTGTTAGTGGACGAAACATGATCGGATTCGGGGAACATACAGACCCACAAATCATATCACTGTTAAGATCAAACAACTCAACCGGCTTGCAAATCTGCCGGAGAGACGGCGTGTGGGTCTCAGTGCCGCCAGATACGACGGCGTTCTTTGTCAATGTCGGCGATGCGCTGCAGGTGATGACCAACGGGAGATTCAAAAGCGTGAAGCACAAAGTGGTGGCGGATTCCAGCAAAGAGAGGGTTTCGATGATTTACTTTGGGGGGCCGCCGTTGAGTGAAAAGATTCGGCCATTGTCGCAGGTTTTAGCAGAGGGGGAAGAAAGCTTGTACAAGGAATTCACCTGGTGGGAATACAAAACGGCGGCGTTTAAGACCAGATTGGCTGATTACAGGCTCGGTGCGTTTGAAAAGAGTCAAAAGTCTACGTTTTAAACTTGTTTCGTTGACCCAACTTTATAATTCTGTTCCATAAATGGTAACTCGAGCTTTTTTTCTTGTTGACGAAGGAACTATTCGATGACGTTCTGGTCGGTAGTTTTATTATTTATATAATCCAACCTCTATTAATAAAATACGTATTAATTATTATTCAACTACACTCATTATAAAAGTTTTAAATTATTTTGTTACGCGAAAAAAGAAAATTTAAAGTAATAATAAGACAATAAAAAATAGAAGGGCGCTTCTTAAATAGATAATCAAATTTATCATTTAATTGAATGTTTAAATCTGAAAAAAAAAAATAGATAGCTTAACTAATGATTAAATTATGTTTAAGTTCATTTAGTTATATAATTAAAATAAGATAATTTTATAATTTAATACGACATTGGTATAACAATACATACCAATACATATAACAATACATGTATTCAAAGTTCCTCTACTTGTTTAAGTGAAAATTGAGGCGAGAAATATAAAATTTAAATATTTGAAAGTGTATGAACTAACATAAAATAAAATTAATAATAAAGTTATATTTATATTCACATATGTTGGCAGACTCTTAGTTCAATCTGCAAATAAATGAAAAATCGTATTTTTTATTTGAACAATGAGGATTCCTCACTTTTTCTAACATTTTAGTTTATATATTTATTTTAATTAAGTTCAGTTTTATTGTTATTAATATTAATAACGAAAATAATAAAATAATAATAATAATAATACCACTATTATAACAACCAAGTATGAGAGTCGGAGACAACCTAGTCCTCTCCAATTTAGTTACGATTCTTACCAAACCTTGTGATCAATGTTGTTCTACCTTCAATCTGAACTAAAATAGGGTAGGACATGACTGTTGACAATAATTTGGCTTTTATTTATTTTTTATTTTTTATAAAAAGGTCGTTCCTTCGAATTTATTTAAGTAATATGATTTCGATTTTCCTAAAAATAATTTTACTAGTTTAAATTAAAAAAAAGGTTAGAAATAAAATACGTAACAAAATAAGGTAGAATTAATGTTTAAGCTTAATTAATTAAAAAAACAAAGGTAAACATATTGATTGTTTTTTTCTTTTTTAGAAAAAAACAAATTTATTGTTAATTTCTATATTTGGTTAATCTAATTTTTAGATTTATTTTTCTCATATCCAACCTAACTTTTCAATACTAAAAATATATATATATTTATTTATTTATTATTTTTTAAATGGATAAATTCTACTGTGTTTCGGAAAAGGAATAAAACAAATAATTTCTAGATATAACTTTTACAGACTTGGAATAAATAAATAAATAAAAACTTTAAGAAATTAAAAGGAAAACGTAGATAATTTGAAGAAATGGCAAGAAATTTAATTATTCAAATAAATAAAACCACAACCAAACCAGCTTTTAGGCAAACCTTTAACATCAACTATTTGTAACCATTTAAAAAAGACTATAATTATTTTTCTCCGCCTAAATGCGCCAAATTATAATTGTAGCATTCTCCTACTTCCAAATCATTTTAATAATAATTTAGAAAACATTTAATTTTGATAGGATGAAAATTAGGTTTAAAAATATATAATAAAATGTGTAATGTGGGGTTTTGTTTTCTTGTAACTTGCAGAAGGTGAGTCGTTGAAAGATTTAATTCTGTACATTATTATTATTATATTATTATTATTATTATTATTATTATTATTATTATGGAAGAAAAATGAATAAAAGAAGGAAGGGAAAAAGACAGGCTTTGACGACAGAGAAACCAAGACTGGTGCATGTGAATTCTTATTATAGGCTGTGTTGTTCTCGGTCAATCTATTTGTGTGGGGGAACCGTCTTGGTTCTTCAGAAACAGCCTTTTAAGCAACTTGTCTCTACCTCCAAATATCATACAAAAAATATTAGGGTTTTCAGTCCACCGAATCAAATAAAAATTTAAGAATAATTTTCAAATTCTTAAAATAATTTCATTCAAATTTGAGTTTGAAATATGAAAACTATATCATTTTTTTTTTAATTTCGTTAAATTTTCATAAATAATTATTAAAAAATATGAACGAGGTTTTTGTATAATATATTATTATTATGGCAAATTTTAATGAATTTTAAACTAAAATAAAATAATTATAAAGGAGGAGAAAAAGCTCTCGCGTTTGAGTTTGTATATATATATATATATATATTTTTTTTTTTTGTTTACTAAACGTCGCGTCGATATTATTTATCAGTTTACTTTCTTTTTCCTCTGGCACAACGTGTCAACATAACAAGGGTAAATGTTGACAAATTTCAATACACAAAATCTAATTTAAAATTCGTTTCGCCAAAAAAAAAAAAAAAAAAAAAAAAAAAAAAAAAAAAAAAAAAAAAAAAAAAAAAAACATCAAATCAAAAATCTAAAAGAAAAAAATAATAAAAACAATGTCACATCAAATTTAAATACCAATTTCATTATCAATTAATTTTGTAGAATCAAATTAAAATTTAAATATATATATATATATATATATATATTTACATTTAGAATATTCCTAAGATATCTAGGTACTTCAGTTTATATTTTTAAAAATGGTAGTAGCATTATAACAATTTGTTTTATAATTTTATCTTGATTAGTCTTCGTAAAAGTATAGGTATTTCCCACAAAAGAGTTTTATTTCAACAATCTAGCGTTAGAATCATGCCTTAATTGAATCATGTCGATATAATCCTCAATTATCGAACAAATAAGTTGCGAGTCTTGAAAGCGTAGTCAAAACGACTCAAGTGTGTAGCAAATAGTGTATTTTGTTCGAAGGCTCTTAGGCCCTATACTATACTTTGTTCTAAAGGAGGATTGTTGGTCTCCAATTGTATAAGGTGTCACGGTCAGCACTATTTTCAATCTCTTAATCAACCTTACTTTTAAACTCTATTTCAAAAATCTCTTTATCTCGCTTTCTAAACCTTCTTCGCTCTCTAAACCTTCTTCTCAAATGTGGGTTAGAGACTTGGATGAGATTTTAGATAAAATGGGAAAAGGCATCCGGGTTGAAGAAGCGGAAATTAAATTGGAATAACACGACATATTTTTCTTTCACATCAATGTCTGATTGGTTTGGTTGTATAAAATTTACAAAAATCTGGACATTTATGGTACCCATTTTTACGTACACTTGCTATTTTTGTGTTGTTTTACAATTATTGACCATTTTCATTGCATCCTTTTTTTGCTCTGTATATCCGTACTCTAATTCTGCCTCACCTATTTCTATCTTCTTTAAATGCATTATTCACGTCTAAATTTTACATTTTCAATAAAAATAAATAATTTATCGCTATATATTGATGGTTATATGGTTGGATGCCGACGTTAAATAAAGCCAAACCAAAAGAAACACCATCAAACATCACATACTCAAAAAGGGCATGAATCCAAAGCATGGTATGGGCGTTTCCTTTAAATGGCTTATGAGCATATCTACACAACGTGACATACAAAAATACTCTCTATATACTAATAATTATAATGCGACATTATCATACAAAATAATAAAGTACCGTCACATCGAAGACCCGATTTTATTTGTCCTTTTTTTTTTGGGTTAATATCAACCCATAAATCGTTACGTTAAAATCAAGAATTTGAATTAAATTTACCACGCTCATTTTGCAAAATCACATATTAATTAGAGAAAGGAACGAAATATTTTTTATAGGAGTGTAGAAACTTCTTCCTACCGTGAGACTCACAACGATACTTAACAAGCTAAAACAGATAATTTCTGCTAACAGTGGCCTTTAAAGACTACAAATTTAATTTTGGTCTTATAGACACGGTTCCCAAATCTTTGAGGATAGCTTTTTACACCTAAAATGTTGTTTTCAAACACAACCAATAATAGAATATTGTCTATGTTTGACAAAAAATCCACATGTTTTGATATCTTCCAAGGAGTAGGTAACCAAACCTTAATCTTATTTTTCTTTTTAAAGATAGAATCTGGTCTCCCATATTAAAAAATGTAACGATGTGATGTTCATAATCTTAAATTTATAATGATTTAATTCTTTTTAATTATAATATCATTTAAAATAATTAAATCATATTTAATTTACGTTGAAATTAGCGAACAATCTTTTTGCAAATTTCTGCACCAACTCCCATTAATTACATAAATTTTTCTTAAACTAAAATAAAAAAACATTCCATTGCTGACTTTGTTGATTTTTGTGAGGTCATGAAGTTGATGGCAGTCGAACAAACAGCCCCTTTTGTCTGCCAGTTTCGTAAACTTGGAGGTACTTTTGCTTCAGTTGCTAACCATTTTCAGGAACATAAGCTTAGCTCCACATCGAATTGATACTGGGCCGTATGAACTATGAAATTAAGGCCCAAAAAATCGCATCTGGGCTATGCTCGCTTCGGCCGTCATATATGATTGAAGGCCCAAAACTTCCACATTTGGGCCGCACGGCCAGACCAATGTAGCCTTCGGGTTTATTGTTTTGAATTTTTTGAAATTAGGTTGTTTTTAAAAAGCTGTGAACAAATATTTCCATAAGAAAATTGCAAAACTGTGTTCAAACTCCAATTAATTGAGTGTTTATGGAACTAATTAGGTCTAGTTGTTGAATGATGAAAGTCCCACATCGGCTAATTTAGGGAATGATCATGGGTTTATAAGTGAGGAATACTAACTCCATTGGAATGAGGCCTTTTGGGGAAGCTCAAAGCAAAGCCATGAGAGCTTATGCTCAAAGTGGACAATATCATACCATTGTGGAGAGTCGTGTTCGTCTAACATGGTATCAGAGCCATGCCCTAAACTTAGCCGTGCCAATAGATTGACAAATCCTTAAATGTCGAACAAAGGACTCCAAAAGGAGTCAAGCCTCCTCGAAGGTACGAAGGCAGTCAAAAATGACTAAGACTCCAAAGGAGTCGAGCCTCGATTAAGGGGAGGCGTGCTTTGTTCGAGGGGAGGTGTTGAATGATGAAAGTCCCACATCGGCTAATTTAGGGAATGATCATGGGTTTATAAGTGAGGAATACTAACTCCATTGGAATGAGGCCTTTTGGGGAAGCCCAAAGCAAAGCCATGAGAGCTTATGCTCAAAGTGGACAATATCATACCATTGTGGAGAGTCGTGTTCGTCTAACACTAGTTATTAGCTATAGCCATAATTTATGATTTATTATTATCGTTATTCAATATATTTAATACAAGTTTTAAAGCTCAGTTGAATTTCGTATATTTGTATTATAAAATAACATTTACTAAATTATTTTATTGAAGCGATATTAAATTCTTAAATAAGGGTTAGATTCTTATTTAAATAACAATAATTATAATTTAAGTAATCAATTTAAGTTGTTTAATGCCACATTATTGATTAGTTCATAATTTAAAAAATTAATTTAATAATTGTGACAACAAAATGGCCTAATAATTTATAATGGAAGTTAAGAGTTTCTGAGTTGTTAATCAACGCTTATTGGTTAGTGTGAACTAAAATCTATATTTATTTATTTGTTAAGAAAAAATTATTTAACAAGAAATCAACCATTCGTCTGTCCTGTGACATCAATTTACTAAGGTTGAGTCCAACCGATTTATTTAAAAATAATGAACTAATTTTATGTTTAATATGATTTAAACATTTAATTTAATGTATGTCTAATAACTGCATAGGTAAACTTCTTTTTTACCGCCACAATTATCTAAAAAAACCGCGACAATCCACCGTAATTACAGTTTACTTTTTAAGTGAGAAAAGCCGCGGGGTTGGGTTGAAGGGGAGGGACTGTTCCTCCATTGTTGCAGCATTCGAATCTCTCCTCTTTCACCTTATCGGAATCAATTGCAGTAATGGCCGGAGAGGACGATGCTGCTGCTGCAACTCGTTGGACGTTCCAGGCATTGCATACCTTTCTCTTTTAACTAATTTGTTTTGCGGCTTAGGAGGAAAAAGACAGAAATCAGTGAATAATGTGTTGATCCAGAGGTTGTAGGAGCTGTATTTTGCTTAATTTTTAATTCAGCCTTAGGTTTAGACTGGCTTTGTGCCTTGGTTGAGGAAATCTTGAATTTAGAAAAAGGAAGTCAAAGCTGTTCTACCTTCCCTAGTTTCCTCATCGGTTTTAATTTTGCTTTTGATCACTTCTAATCGGTTTGTGTCAGGCATGTGGTGCAAACGCTGCAGTGTATTGTTCTTTGTTCTTTTTTGGTTGGAGTAGAATCTGAATTTCGGCTAGAAGTGTATAATTTTGGTAAATTCAATGTTCTTCTGCTTGTAGGATTTCAAGAGGTTCTATGATTCCACATTTGGGAGAAAGAAGGAGTCGAAGTCCCGGAATGGTGAGGCCTCTGATGCGGCTTTGAAAAACGAGAGTACATTGGGCACAGCGGCAAATGGAACTGCGCATGGGCCTGAATTGGCCATCTACGAGCAGTTCCGATTGCAGGTAATGCATTTATGACTTTTCTGTTGTGACAATAGTTGACTGATCTGGGATGCATGGGTTGGTAAAGTGCTGATTCCATCAAATTTTCCTCGTCAATTGTTTTGTAGCAGAGTGGCTCAAGTTCTGCACCTGGTGCTGTGCCCAACCGTAATATGGTGACTGTGTGAGTCGTCTCTAACAATTTCTTTAGCAGTTATATTATTCTTTTCACCATTAGCTTAGTTGTGTCGAGGATTGTTGGAGTCCCACGTGGCTAATTAAGGGGAAGATCATGAGTAAATAAGGGACACTATCTCTATTGGTATGAGGCACTTTGGAAGAATCAAAAGCAAAAACATGAGAGTTTAAGCTCAAAGTGGACAATATCATATAATTGTGGAGGTTTGTTTTTCCAATTAGTGGTATCAAAGTCATGCCCTTATCTTAATTTAGCTATGCCAATAGAATCCTCAAGTGTCGAACAAAGAAGTTGTGAGCCTCCAAGGTGTAGTCACAGGGAAGATCTTTAGTACTTTAACACAAATAAACTTTGTGAATTAGCTTGAGTAAATGCTCATTCACACCAAAATTATACCAGAATTGCATATTTGAATTGAAATGAGTTTTTGTCTTAAGGATTAGTTATTTCCTGTGCTTTTGTAGCGTACCTAATCATCATCATTATTATTTTTTACCTTGTCAGACAGAAGCCTTTGCTTCCTCCATTGGAATCTGCAGAAATGCGCAACTTAGCTGAAAGCATTGCTAGGTAACTGACAAAGTGCTATACATCAATTGAGATTATCTTTAATGATTGAAAACATATGGATTTCTTAGCCAATACATTATCTTATATTTTCAGACCTCCTTACTGTCCTACACTGCTTTATTCAGGGATATAATACGTGGAAATCCAGATATTAAGTGGGAAAGCATCAAGGGTTTAGAACAGGCCAAATGCTTACTTAAGGAAGCAGTGGTCATGCCAATAAAATACCCCAAGTGAGTTTTCTTTTCAATACTATGGACTATTTGATCATAGTTTAGCATCTACTCTTTCACTTGAGGTTGAAGGTTCAAATTCTCATCCTTACATTTGTTGTAAAGAAAACCATTTGTTGAACTAAGAAAATAATTATATATAATATAAGTGCTAGTAAAATTAGTATTAAAGATGAATTTCAAATAATGTTCTTTATTTTTCAATTCAAAAGATATAGTAAACTAAACTGAACTGCATTAGGCTAAATTAAATTTAATCAGATGAAGTTCATGTATTAAAAATAATGAGGTTAAATTGATGTCTGCTACCACCTAAGTAAAGTTTTTTGAATGATCATTTTGTCTGGCAAACCATTTCTATTTCTTTTCAAGATTTATCCTATGACCGTCATGATAGATTTAACTGACTGTTGTTGGGATACTATGACATTGGGCTTTCCTATTTACTGCTCTACTGATGGTTGATATAAATTTCTTGGTTGTAACGTTGAACCAAAAAATATATTCCTAACCCTTTGTTAGGAATCACGACTCTCCACAGTGGTATGATATTGTTGTCTGCTTTGAGCATAAGCTCTCATGGCTTTTCTTTGGGCTTTCCCAAAATGCCTCATACCAATGGAGATATATTCCTTTACTTATAAACTCATGATCATTCCCTAAATTAGCCAATGCTGGGACTCACTCCCAACAATCTTCAACACCTTTTTTTTTTTTTTTTTTTTTGCCTGTATTGCATTTCTACTAAAATCGTCTCGTGAGCCAGTCTTAAACTCACATATCTCCTTCATAGATATTTTCGGGGTCTTCTATCTCCATGGAAAGGCATCCTCCTCTTTGGCCCTCCTGGAACGGGAAAGGTATGTAGGTTTTAGTTGAAATATTTTGTTTTAAAAGCTAAGTCTAATATTCGGCTGTAGTCATTGTTAGTACAATTGAGATGATATTTCTGTAAAAATCTGTTTCTTTATAAATTGCCATAAACACAAATAAACTATCCATAAAGTTATTGCTTTGAGGAAATCCATGTTTCTGCGAATCATTATCTAATACAAGCTTTGTGAATTAGCTTGTAAAATCATTTTTCTGGCATTCTGCAATGGAAGCTTAAACAGCCTTCCTTGTAATTCCTCGAGAAATTTTGGATATTTCTTGTAAAGGCACTTGCACCAGGATGATTGAGAAAATTGAGAGAAAGTGTATTCCAGTGTTTGTCACTTTTTCAGATTTTTTTGTTATGGTCACCTTATCAGTTTTTTTGGAGTTTTCGTATATTGCTAATTGAGCTGTAATGAAGGTCTTATGGTCTATGTTTTCCTTATTTAGATAACCTTTCATGTTAATTATTCAGACCATGCTTGCAAAAGCTGTTGCAACTGAGTGCAAGACAACATTTTTCAATATTTCAGCATCATCTGTGGTGAGCAAGTGGCGAGGTAGGAGTACATCCATGAATATGTTTCATTCTTTCTCAGTTTGTATAGTCAACATTTGAACTTGTAATAAAAAATTTGAAACACGTGATCTGTCTCTTTTTGAATCAAATAAACATAATATTCTTTTACGTGTTTAAACTATCAACATTCTGTACTTACAAGTCTTCGGAAATAAAGATTAGCCATTGTCGTGGCCATAGCTTTTTTTTAAATGGTAAAACCAAAGTCTCATTAATGGTCCAGCATCATTCTCTTTTAGGAGCGGTGTCATTAAATTTCATTGCTCTGCTATTAATTTCTGAAATTGAACTGATGATCTTCTTTCTTAATCACTTGCTTTGTTTCATAAATTTCTCTGCTTCAATTTCTTTAATAGGTGATTCGGAGAAATCTATCAAGGTCTTATTTGAGCTTGCTAGGCATCATGCACCATCTACTATATTTCTAGATGAAATTGATGCAATTATTAGTCATCGTGGTGAAGGACGCAGTGAACATGAAGCTAGTAGGCGTCTGAAAACAGAGTTGCTCATCCAGGTCCTATCTTTGTTCAATAGAATAATACCATAAGCAGTTATTCTGTGTAGCATCACCCATTGTTATACTTCTTTCAAAGAGGGTTCATGTGATATCACACTTCGGTTGGAGAGAGGAATGAAACATTTCTTATAAATGTGTAGAAACATCTCCCTAGAGGACACTTTTTAAAACCTTGAGGGGAAGCTTTGAAGGGAAAGCCCAAAGAGGATAATATCTGTTAATGGTGGATTTGGGCTGTTACAAATGGTATCAGGGCCAGGTTACCGGGCGGTGTGCCAGCGAGGACGCTCGGCCCTCAAGGGGGTGGATTATAAGATCCCACATCGATTGGAGAGGGGAACGAAACATTTCTTATAAGGGTGTGAAAACCTCTCTTTAAAAGACGTATTTTAAAACTTTGAGAGAAACCCCGAAGAAACAAAAATCCGAAAAGGAAAATGTTTGCTAGCTGTGACTTGAGCTGGTACAGTTCACATGCTCATATTTGAACCCTTCACATGTTTGGGTTCTTGCTCAAGAACGATAACTTAGCTGTTTGTTTTTTTATTAAAATACTATTACTTAAATGATCACAAGTTAACTCTGTAGCTTCCATTTGTTATGTAAGCCAACCGTCTTGGAATTCTTTTGCATCTTTTATCATCGTTTCCCAATGCATATCAAGATTCCAGTCATCTTATTGCAGAAATCTGTGTAGTCAACCTGTTTAGAAATCACATTAGTCTTTTCTATCTAATTGTGACCCATCCAAATATTGATTATCCGATTGGATTGCAGATGGATGGGTTGATGCAGACAGATGAACTAGTCTTCGTTTTGGCAGCGACGAATCTTCCCTGGGAACTGGATGCAGCCATGCTTCGTCGTTTAGAAAAGAGAGTATCCTCTTATCATTGCAGTCTTTGTTTTGATAGAATAATTAGAACAGTGGTCAATAGCTTATAGTGTCTTTACGATGATAGAACTGATTACCAACCGCTTCTTGAGTCACAGCCCCAAAAAAGTCGTTAATTCTGCTCACTGCCAATTATATCACAATTCCTCAAAATTTAAGTCATTTTATGGCTACTCATAAGGGAAGAGTTTTACACCACAAATTTTTGCTTTTGGAACTTAAGTCTTGAGTTTTTTCTCCTGAACGAAAAAATGAGATTATCTATGTTCTTTCCAAACTCAAAAATTGCATATATGCTTCATTATGAAAAGAACCATTATCATATTGCCTCTTTCTATGCATGTTTCGACATTCCACAACTTGTTTAAAGGAGCTTGAATCTAGGGGAAAAAATCAGTAACTTGAATCAAAGGATTTTGATTCAGAAACTGCTACAATATTCTAATTTAAGACTTATTTTGGCTTAGAACTTCCATCTGCATGATAGCTTGATGAGTATCAACCGCATTTGAATGATTATATCCACCAAGTGATTCTCCTTTGACCATTGTATAAAAGATACTTGTGCCTCTGCCAGAACCAGAAGCTAGAAAAGCTATGTTTGAAGAACTTATTCCTCAATCTGGAGTTGAGGAACTTCCTTATGATATATTGATGGAAAGAACAGAAGGCTATTCAGGTTCTGATATTCGATTAGTGTGCAAAGAGGCTGCTATGCAGCCACTACGCCGCTTAATGGCTCAACTTGAGGAACAGCAAAAAGAGTTGCCCGAAGAACAACAGGGAGTAGTGCATGAAGAAGGTATTGAACATTTTAAACGCATCGCTATTTTTTTTCTTATTCGGTTCATTGCATGGATCTATTCTTTCAAAAGTCCCCTTCTATAGACTTCTCTAGTAACCTTGATATTCTCCTTGAATCTATGGAGGAAGCCTTCCAAGCCTTTGGCTCCTGCAATCTCGATTATCAGAATTCTCACTGTAATCTATAAATTAAAATCCAATGAAATACATTTAAGCACCATGGTCTTGAACATGGGTTGATCAGTTCTCTTCTCTGTACCATCCTGCAAACAACTAACATAATAACTCTTCATGACCGCAGAGTTGCCCAAAGTTGGACCAATCACAGCCTCCGACATAGAGATTGCCTTGCGAAACACGCGGCCATCTGCTCATTTGGATGCTCCCCGGTATGAAAAGTTCAATGCCGACTATGGAAGTCAATTACGGCATTGAAGGTACACACAAGTGCCCCACTTATCCCTCTCAGCAGCCTTCTTATATGTGTATGCTTGTTTGGTGTGTTGTGCTACAAGAGAAAGTATTGAATTGTGTTCCACTCAAAAATTTATAACTTACTGGTACCATAGTAGATTAAATTTATCAACAACCTTTGGCCCCATAAAATTCTGTGCTCAGTTCAAGGTCTCATTATCATTGAATTCTCAGAGACTTGAGTGTGGAAAGCTGTGCTTAGTAATTAGTAGATGTGAGACTGATGATGAACTACTTTTTATTGATGAAATTGTTCTTGATATCTGATAGATGTGGGAGTTTTACATTTCTGTCGAATCAAAATGCAGAACTGATGTGACAAGTATCTATTGTGGATAGATGTGAGATTTGACAGACACCTATTATTGATGGATAAAAGGCACGCATGAGCAAGTAGCATTATCATGATCATGTCTTAGCAATAACAATAAGATAGAAAAGATGAGGAATGTGATGACAAATTTAAGTTTCTTAAAGTACAAAGAAGTTGTCGATTTCTGTCATCTTCATGCTCTTGCTGCTGTGATGTTTCTTGATTTCCAGGTATGAGTGTGTTCTTTCTGACGCTGCTTTTGGACATCAGCTCTAATCTGCTAGCTGTGCAATTATATTTTTAGGGTATTTTATTCCAAGGTGGGGTGATTTTGTGTTGGTTGCTCATTGTAGTGCTTTTTAAGATTTCTTTTTTTGGGCTAGTACCAATATATACTTCTATTTTTCTCTCTAATTTACCTTCATTAATTTTGTGACATCTTACGTGCTCTAGAGAGGAGAACGAATAATTTCTTATAAGCTCTAGAGAACAAATCATTTCTTATAAGGGTGTGAAAACTTCTCCCTAGCAAACGCATTTTAAAACGGTGAGCTTGATGATGATACATAACGGACTAAAACATACAATATCTGTTAGTGGTGGGCTTGAGCGGTTATAAATGGTATTAAAATCGGACACCGAACAGTATGCCAATGAGGACGTTGGGCCCTCAATGGGGTAGATTGTGAGATCCCGCATCAGTTGGAGAAGGGAACGAAGCATTCCTTCTAAGAATGTGAAAACCTCTCTCTAGTAGATGTGTTTTAAAATCATGAGATTGACAACGATATATAACAGGCTAAAGCGGACAATATTTATTAGTGGTGAGCTTGAGATTGTATTGTTACAAATAAATTTTCACCCGAATCCTAACATAAAATTTAAATTAATTCATTTATGGAAGGTTAGACTTTAATATGTTAGTTTGATGTTTTAATTTATATATCTCCCGAAGTTTAGTGTATAAATTGATTTTTTCCCCTTATTTCTTTTAAATATCCTAATTTTTTTTTTTTTTTTTTTTGTCTCTATACTTTAAATTTTGTCTTTAATCTTTTAATTTTGTATTTAATAGATATGTGTTCTTATAATTTTCTTTAAAAAAGCACTAAAAAAAAACTTAAATAGGCTATAAATGACACTTAAATAGTAAAAAGTAAACAGCAATACCTATTAGGATTAGATTACAAGCTTCCTTTTGTGAAAGATAATATCACTTTTTCTCCATCTAATTATGCCGATTACAGGCATAATTAAAGAAGAAAGCAACGTCTAATCATGATTTATTATACTCAAAGCATCATCATATTGGAAATCCATATATTTATACATAAAAGAATGATTATAAATAAAGTATAATACAACTACTTACGGTATACATTATTAAAAAAAAAAAATGTTACCGCTAGATCGATATATATATCATCGATTTAGCGGTAACATTTCTTTTTTTTTTTATGTCCAAATAATTCTGATTTCAACGTAAATAAAATTTAAAAATAATTTAACTTGTTTTTGAAAAAGATTGTCCAATAAATTATTAATTTTTTTTATATTGCCACCACCTACTTCGAAAGCAAATTTGAATAATAACACGAGACTCATGAATAGGTAATATAATAAAAATGATATTATAAGATTTTGAATTTCAAAACTCTAATTATTTTTTAGTTGAAAAGTAAATTGAAAAACATAAAATAGAATAAATTTCAATTTTATTATATTTTCGGCATAATATTGGAAAACACACACAATTTTTTTATAAAAAAAAGTGGAAGATTTTTCCTTGTCATCATGAATAACCTTTTCCCTTTTGCTAGTTTCAGTTAGTGTATATAATATTTTATGTTTCAAGATATTGGAGGCAAACCCCCTCCCCTCCCCACTCAAAATAATAATTAATTAATTAAAAAAAACCTTTAATTATTAGTTCAACACCGTCATATATCCACCTCTATGCCTCTATTTAACTATCATTAACGTCGCATAAACACATCTTCATTAATTTAATTCATAATGTTTCCTTTTCTTTATCTTTTCATCATCAAAAGAAAAAAATGAGTCTAAAAAAATAATTTTATCACTGGAGGGTTAGTTGGCCACAAATTCTAAAAATTTAGATCAAATTAAAATGTTTTTGTTAAAAATCATGACTGGTGACTACTCTTCACTCAACAAAGTAAGTATACTGTAGAATCTCTTTTTAAAACCTCTTTTTGTAGATAAAATCTTAAAAACTTTCGATCAAATTGGAAGGTTTATTTAGAGCTAAATATTCAAAAGGTTAAAATGATGGTCGTGTTGGGGTGGCAATGACTGTATTTGGCATTGCCTGAATCTTTCTCTCTCTCTCCAAAACGTACACAGAAGCACATGCTGATTTGTGTAAAAATGGGACCCCAAAATCTGACGCTACAATCCACTAGGATGACTCATCAGCTACTTGAAAATCCAATTTTTTTTCTTTTTTTTAAAAAAAGAAAAGCCTCTCACAAGCTCCCTTTTTTGAATGTCTTTTTCATCGTCAAAAAAAAAAAAAAAAAAAACAATAATATCTTTATTGGGAATCTTCTGTCATAGTGGTAAATAAATAAATTCATGAAATAAAAAAGGGTTCCTTTTTGTGTGTTTTTTGAGCCAATTGGTAATGGGGTGTTCACAAAGGAGAGGTTTTTATATAAATTGAGAAAAGAAAAAGATGCCCAAAATGAACCCTTTGCTGACGGTTAGGGTTTGCCAAAGAAACAAAGCTTTGGCCGACCATTTGTCTGCTCAAGATAATAAAAACTGACAAATCAAATTTTTTAACTTTACACTTTAATTGTTTTTTTTTAAAAATAAAATTAATACCTTATAGTCTACGCCCATTTTTATCCCGACCAATTATTTAATAAGATGATACAATATATGTATAACGACATCACCGTTACATCAAATATATGAGAAATATTTTTAATGTTATTTTAAGTACAAGTTTTGAACGAACATCGAATCATTAGTCATCTTATCGTCGAGAAAGAGGAAGGAAAAGTAAACGACTTTTGAAATTTTGTATACGAACACAAGTGCATGTGGATTCCTCGTCATTTCTTTTCTTATCTTTTCCAAAATTAATTATTCTTTGTGTAAGACAAAAGATGTGAGGAAAACAAGGTTGTAATATTACTAAATAATAGAACATTCAACGAGCGGCATGGAATTACAAAGCCTTTGTGGTTTTTACGTACATAAGATAGAGAGCTATACAATGAACAGTTTAATTTATAGCTACACATGAATCAAATCGACACTAACAAACTAAAGCTAATCAAATGGTTGATGGGTTTTAATTAACTTGCTTCAATAATCAATGGGTTTAATTTTCTTGTTCAAATTCAATCGTTGACACTGCTTTTATCACTGATCTAATTCGTCTAAAATAGTTGTCTCGTAAAAATAGTCTTGAAGCTGATCAGCAAATACACGAACATCCAATACACAAGGCTTTTGAATTCCGTCCTTGTTGTCTGTTAAAGAGAGAGAGAAAAAAAAAAATGAAACATTGCAAAAGAAAAAGTTTTTAGCTTTCTTCTTTATTTTCCTATAGTAAAGGAATGAATCAACTAGAAAACGTAAGGAAAGTTATCGTCTTTTTACTTTATTGATACGAAATTTTTTGGGTGAAACTCGAAGGAAAGTACCTTGGTGGCTGAAGAAGACAGGGAGATGGACGCGGAAGAGGTAGAAGTGGAGCTCAGCAACGCGGAAAGGCCGACATTGTAAGCCATGGTTCCATCAGGTTGGTAGAGACCATAGTTTCGTTCAGAGGTTGGTCCAGGCTTCATGTCTTCATTAAAGAGAGCAAAAAGGTAAACTTCGAGTCTCATATTTGGCCTAAGAGGGGTTCCTTCATTGGCCAATTGTCTTCTAAGCAAGTTCCTATTGTAAATGGCTGCATTTTGAGCTGTGGCTCCAATTTCATCGACGTCTCCTTTTGAAGGCCATCCTGTCTCTGAAACCCTAACCTCAATCCCATCAAAGCCAAGCCTTGCCATGGCGAAGATCACTGCATCTACTTGAGCATACAGCATGTTGTCATAATTAAGCCTAGTGGAAGGATCAACCATGTAAGACATGGGGTTTAAAAGAGCATAATCCAATGATATTTTATCAGGGTTATCTTTGAAGGCGAAATATGGGTATGCATTGATCCAAAATGGGGCTTTTGTGCTTGACAAGAACTGCAAAAACTGTGAAATGTAGCTTGCCACTTGTGATTTGAAGCTACCAGCTGATGGCGGGAAGGACTCCTCAAGAACAGCCAAGGATGTTGGAGTTGACACATGAACATATGAGCCTAGCCCTAGTTGAGCTAAAGCTCCATGAATGCTGATCATTGCCGGGACGAGGTTCGCCATTAGAGTGGTGTCGTTTCCGGTGAATATCTCGTTCCCAACTGCGATTCCGGTGATCCTGGCCGCTGGGAAGTATGGCTTGATGTGGGTTGCTACCCATTGGACTGCTTGTTGAGGATCCATGAGTTGGGTTAGCATCTCGTTTTCTATGGTGACTATAAGCTCTGTTTTGGAGTTGGCAAATGTAGCCAATATTTGAGGGTTTGTGTCATAGATTCTCACTTTTGAGATCTTAAGTGAAGTTAAGAGCTCAAGAACTTTATCTGGGGGTGGCAAATTATCGCCAACTTGCCCATAATTAATGCCTAAACATTCAACTCCTGCCATTAAAAAGGATGCTAAGATCAATATACAAACGAATAACAAAGAGAAAAAGAGTTGAAGATTACACATTGATGTTCAAATACCTGAGACTGTGAGAGAGAATAGAAGAAAAAGTAGGATCATGGCAATGTGTGAGAGAGAGAGGGCTTTGTGGGAATGCTTTTGTGCAGAAGATTTGCATTGGGAATATGGGTTACAATTTGGGTGTGGAAATGGGTACTATATAGAATTGGGAAGTGTCTCTTTTCAACTTTCTCCCATCATCAACGCGCCCAATAATGGACCCTTCTTTCTTCACATACAAGCAATTAAGAAAAAAGTGACACCACCCTTCTTCTTTTAATACATATCAATATATAAATTAAACCCAATACAAAATTTTCATTCTCCCTAACATCTTTGTCATGGAACGGGTCAAAGTGGACAATATCTATTAACAATAGACTTGGATCACTACAAATGATATTAGAGCTAGACACGGAACGATGAGTTTAGATTGTTACAAATGCTATTAAAGTCAGAACACTGGGCAATGTGTCAACGAGAATGCTAGACCCCAAAGGGACGTGGATTGTGAGATCCCACATGGGTTTGGGCTGTAACAAATGATATCAATGTTAGGCAGTACGTGGCATGTCAGCAAGAACGTTGAGCTCCCAAGGGAGGTGGATAGTGAGATCCCACGTGAGTTTGGGTTGTTATAAATGGTATCAGAGCTAGACACCGGTGGTGTGTCAGCGAGGACGCTCGACTCCCAAGGGAGGTGGATTGCGTGATCCCATATTGGTTGGAGAGAGAAAAGAAAACGATGATAAGTAACAAGTCAAAACAAACAATATCTACTAACAATTAGCTTGAACGAGTAAAAAAAAAATCTCTCATTTGAGGGGAAAAAAAGAAAAGCACAATACATTTATATAATTTTGTGGAAATGATTCAATCTCCATAAAGAAGAGATTATGTAATATTTGATTATTAAAATGATTCCTCTTACTATAGTTGACTTACTTTAATATTGGTAGCATTTAAAATTTGAGGAGAGAGAGATTGGAGTTGTTGTTGTCGTCGTCATCATTCAATTTCATGCCCATCACATGGAAAAGGAATAGGGATATTTATTAATGTCACATATCTTAACCATATATTATAAATATTAATTATACTAAATTTGATTTATTTCTTAATTTATTTGAGTCCATGTATATTTTAAATATTTATGATTTTTAAGTAATGAGGAAGTGAAATTGAATTTGTATTTTAATCAAAGGAAGAAAGTGGGACGAAAGTAATTAACTTTTAATTAGCTTTGGATATTTGGATAAGGATGTGGAAATTACTGGCCAAAACGGATGTGTAAAGTCCTCCAATTTTTGGAACATAAATTAAATTTCACAGGGTCAAATAAAGTGGGCTCATTATATTTGTCACGTGTAGAATTACATTATCTTGGTATTAAATAAATTGAGAATTAATCAAGTTATTAATTGGGATTAAGGTTTTATATAACTTAATTTATTTTTTTTTTATTTTTTTTATAGAATTAAAAGGCAGTGTCCTTGGAGAATCACTTTTACATGCAAATTGGCCGGCAAAGATTTTATTATTGATGTTGGGGTAAAGTTAAATATATGGTGCAAATTGAAATTGACCCATTCCCACCCAATTTTCACACCAATTTGAGTACAAAAGTAAATAAGGGATATATGAATGAACCGAGACAACTTTTTATAAATATATAAAGTTTCCATATTTGGGTTTAGAAATTAGTGAAAGTGTGGGAAGAGAAAATTTGCCTAATTATTTAGGGCTTTAGGTATATGATGATAAGATAAGCTAATGTAAAAGGGGATTGAAAAGCAAGATTGGTTATTTTAGCCAATAAAGTTTTCTTTCTTTCTTTTTTTATTTTTTATTTTTATTTTTAATTTTGTGGGTTTTGTTGATAAGAATACAACCTCCCAATTTCCATTACTCTTTTCTAAAGTTGCCACGTGGAAGCCACGTCATTAGCCCAATTGAATTGTTACTATTAAGTCTGGAGGAATTGAATTTAATACACAAAAGGAGATTGATTTTAGAAGGTCAATTTTGAGGGTGAGGGAAGGAACCCACGTAATATATAATTAAGAGAGAAAAAAAAATGAATAAAGAATGGATCGACTATTGAAATGGGCCTTATTTGGGCCTGGGCCTTACGATAGAATGGATCCACAATCCACTGTAGTCCATGATGGATATTAGTCAGTCGGCCCAAATCCAGTTGAGCTCCTCCAAGGCAGGGAGGTGGAGGTTGAGGAAGCGATCCAAGTCCTTAAACGAGGCGCTGTGCAGAAACGTCGTCGTCCGGTTCATATAACTTTTCTCAACCTCCACTCGCGTCCTCTTCCTGCAGGTCCCTCCACCGCCCTCGACGGCGGAGGAATGCTTGCCGGTGAGGCTCTGAACGACGGATTTGAAGTTGGAGACGTCGGTGTGAATATGGCGGTACTCAATTAGCACCACCTTCACTCCTCCCGCCGCCGTGTTCTTGGAGTCAGCCATTGTGCTTGTGCTTGTGCTTGTGCTAGTGCATCGGTGTGTATTATTATATATCGAGATAAAGAGCGTATGAAAAAGTGGAGGGCGTTTAGTCATGAGTCAAAGGAAGCATGCGAAAAACGTTGAATTAATGAATCTGAGTCCTTGGTGGAGAGTGTTGCGTCGTAGGAAGATACGAAAGCAAAATGCAACCATTTGGCATCTTCATAGCCTAATAAATGTAGTTTGAGTTGAATGAGCAGAGTTTTTCAAAGTCAAAACACACCCACGTGCTTTTGTCTTTTCGTCAAGGAAGGAGGATGATAGGCTTCGCAGTTTGGTAGGCCCCTTGTGTTTAAGGTACACGAAATTTATACTTAATGCACACGGGGGCTTGCCCAGGTAGTTGCCTCGAAGAGAGCCGTGTATATGAAAGATGAAAGCTTTCTAAATTTAGGGTCAATTGGATACCCAATGAACTATGCACAGGGTAGGTCTACTTGCCAAAAAGACATCTACTCGAGAAAGATTGAAAATTCCTCAAAATGTACCGTAGGGGAGGAGGCATGATGTTGGCTATCCACCATCTCTAGGCCCTGTTACCTAAGTGAGCTACCCTATAGCACAAGTGTGTGTCACAGTGTGGGGAGTGTCATGGGACGAGCATCTTCCTTTAAAAATGGTCTTTCAAGGACAGTACCAAACGACATAGGTGTGCCAGTATTGCGTCATAGCCCATGTGTCCGGAGGTTGGATTATGTACCCACTATCTAGAATGTACGTCGTAAATGGTTTAGTATGGACACGAGAGAGTCTGAATACTCGAGTGAACTCGAATGGATGGATGTTTGGATGTCCTAAAGAGATGATCGACGCATGAGTCAATTCCTAATGAATGTGTTAGAGCAAGTCAAGATGGCCGATGTGTCACTAGACATGGGATGACATCATAACGCATTGTCATGCGGTTGGGAATCGAGATGACAATGAGATGTGACATTGTTATGTTGCAACGATTGAACATGCACGCACAAACAACGTGTGTGGTTGAACAAGCTTGGATTCCATATAAGTGATGTTGTTTGGCGAAGGCAAATCTCGCCGACGATACGACGAAGTTACAAAATTGGACGAAAATGTGAATGGAGCTTGAGTCCCCCTTAATCCTTGTCTCGAGCGTGTCAAGATCAACAGGCATGTTCTCCCTTTTCGACAGTCATAAGGGTTCTGTTCCATTTAAGCTTTGAAATCCGAAAAAAGCTCAGCTCTAATTAAATTCGTGACTCAAGCTTTTTGTAAGAAGAGAAGCTCACAAGAAATTCATCTCAACCTCTGCCATCAACTCTGATTTGCCAATCATAATTGTAACGCAGTTATGAAACTATCGCCTAAATCATTCAGCAAGCAACATGAAAAGAAAGAAACATAATCATTCATTTAAAACAACAATGATCCAGAGCAAGACATGTCTCCAAACGCAGTGCACAATCAAGCTCCAGCTCGTTACATTACAATATAATATAAAAACATTTCTACATTCCGAAGTTCTGAATCTGTCTATTCCGTTTTTCTAGTAACCAAACAATTTCAAGAGATCCAAACACGAAACAAATGCAAGCATAACAGAACAAGAGATTTTTACATTGTAACCTGTTGACCATTCTCGAAGTGGCAATCCAAGAACCGGCGATCAGCAGACAAATTCCAAAGCGAAATCATCAACACGAACCGAAGAATCTAAATATCCAGAATTCGATTCACAAGAACAAACATACTTTATCTTCAACAAGAAAATGCTATTATCCGTTAAATCCAGAGATTTAGAGGGTGAAATTAGGCGCATAAAGTGAAATCAAACGCCCTTGACGACCTCAGAAGTGGTCGAAGATGGACGAGAAGCCTTTACACCATCAAGATCTGGACTCAAATCAGCGTTGGGATTCAGAGGAGCGCGTATATCCGAAACGTCATCGTCAGGATCGTAATCCGGGTTGAGAGAGCGATCAATGGCCTCGCGACCTTTCTCGAGGCAAGGCTTGCAAGCTGTCTCGATGGTGATCCATCCTAGAATCACCGCTCCGATTGCTATCACCGACGTCGTTATTGCACCCATTCCGATTCCGATTCCGATTTCAATTCCGCCCTTTGCACGATCTCTCGCGAGGAAAAACAAACAAATGTTCCATAATTCGGCCAGCCCCGAGAAACAGCAAACCGACAACTTCTTTTTGGGCTAATGCCATCAGAGGCCCATAATTTGCTTTACCCAATTATTGGGCTTTGATCATATTAGCCTTTTCACCTGTCGGCCCAAAGTGCAGTAAAGCCCATTTCAATTCACATGACGGCCCAAAGTGCAGTAGAGCCATCAAAAGGACTGTTTTATGAGTCTCAAATTAATGGGCCAATTTGATACGTTTTTACAAAAAGGGATAGAAATCTTTCAATTAAAACAACTTTTTCCTCAATTTCTTTAATTAGTAGACTTAATCCGATAATGAAATACACTTTAATTTTATTTATTTTCTTATTTGGAACGGAGGAGAACATACACAATGGTATGATATTGGAGAACATACACACCGCCTCATATCAATAAAGATGTATTTCTTACTTATAAACACATATCATTTCATTAATTAGCCAAAACAATTTTCAAAAAC